GCCACCCCAGAATTCGCTGTAGTCCCCCCTTTCCCAGTGCCACTGCCACCTGCCTGAAGCTCAGCCCTAGCCCAGCCCCCCCCGGGAAGAGGCCAGTTCTGCCCCTGGCTCCAGCCCACAGCAGCAGCCTGCCCTCGCCCTGTGCACAGATCTGGGAGGCACATGCCCCCTGTGCCTCCCTTGGAGGTGCACGCAGCAGCAGGAGCTGTCCTACCCACACACACACACACACACACACACACACCCCTACACACCTGGACAACAGGAGCTGTCCTACCTACACACACACACACACACACACACACACACACACACCACCCCTGAATGAGCTGCGGCTCCAGCCTGGCCTCACCCCACCCTGGCTGGGCAGCATTTGCCCCAGCCCCACTCCCTCCCTTACTGCAGGGGCCTTGATCTACTTCTCCCCCCACCCAACACCCATCCCTCCATCACGCTCCTTCCCCCCAAAGACTTACCAGCTGGACACTGCTCTCCAAGCTGCCAAGCTGGCAGTGTGAATGCTGTGGCTGCACACATGCACACAGCATTTAATGGCGACATTATCAGCCGCATCAGCCAAAAAAGCCAATTGCCGATAATGTAAATTTTCCTTTTATCGTTGCCAATACGATATGGACCAATATATTGGTGCACCTCTAGGGGAAAGAGAGAGAGTCTGGGGATGTGCAACAACACATCAACAAAGATTATGACCCTGGTAGTTTTCAACCTGAGAGCAGTAATTTTTCTGTAATATTTTGAGCAACATAAGTGTCTTTCCTTGTGGGAACATGGTGCCTGCAGTAAACGAGTCTTTATTTAGGACTTTGTAACTTTGGACAGTAAAGGATACACTGAAAAACTGAAGAACCTAGCCCCCTCCTTCAACACCAAGTGCGCTAAAATTAGTTTCTCTCTCTCTCTCTTCTGCATCAGTAGCAATTTTTTGTCTGCAATCAGCAATAAAATTAGAAAAGCAGATATTTACCACACAGATGCCATAGTGCACATGAGCAGCTGTGACAGACACGTTGAATACGGCGAGTACTATTGGCTCCATCCTCCCCAGCTGCCCGGTTACTGCTGTGTAGACCACAAGAGCTAGTGGAAACAGGAACCAGTGGAAAACTTTGGGTCTGGTGTTACTCATCTGGCAAATGATCATCCTGACCTGTTGGAATAATATAAACCGCCAGGTAAGAAGCACAGGGGTAGTTTACTTAAAGGAAACCAGCTAGTTTGCCTGGTGGAGTGTTTTTAATTGAAAAAGAGTTGGGATTGGGAAACTGGGCTCATTCCAAGCCTGAGATTTACCATAAATGATTGTCTTTGCTCCTTTATTGGCTGTGATTCTTAGAGCACTTTATTACATGTAATGTAAAACATACATTGCTTTTATGGAGACAGTGTTTTGACATGTTACACTTTATGAGTTTAAGAATAATTTTGCATAAAGGGCAGTTTGTTTGACACTTGAAGTTTTCACAGATACTCATAAAAGTGCAATGCTAAATTGAACATGCAAACACTTAATCACAGGAGCAATGTACTGCATTCACTTGGTATGACTAAATTACCCACTGACTCACATTACTTAAAGTGGAAAATGTGGTATATGCATTTGTGCTGCTTCTAAACATTATCATCTTTAATTGGACATTCATGCATTCTACATTCACACAGCCACCTGGGAAATCCAGATTATCTAGATAAATTAGGAAGAAATGGGCTCTCAAAAATTTGTGAAGATTCAAAGCACAGGGGTCCTAGTTGGAATGATAGAGGGAATATGTAAAGTGTTGTGTAAGGGAAATAGACTAATATTATTTTGAGATCCTGAAACTGTAATGAGTTTGGATTCACATTTTCATTACATGTGTTCTACTTTTTACACCCTTAAAGATTTTTTTCTGCTTAAAATGACTAAATACTAAACTAAACTTAACAAGACTGGGATAAAATGTTCAAAGGTGCCTCAATCCCATTTTTAAAGGAAGAGATTTTTGAAAATCCAGACCTTGCGTGCAGGGCTGGCAGTAGGTGTGGCTCTGAAACTGCTGCCACCCAATTACTACAAGAAAGATTTTTTTTTCTTCATGCTGCCTTTCAAAAACAAGGTGTGTATCATATACAATGGCATACTCTTGGTGAGAAAGCACTGTATTTTGCTGAGCAACTGCAGATGTCCAGCTGCTTGCATTCAAGGTCTTTTAAAATATATTGTTGCATGATTTAAAAAGAAAAAAAAACAAAAACAAAACCCTGATCCCTTGCCCCCTGCCACTACTTTTCCTGCCACAGCAGTGGGGAGGCAGGGGGGGAATTTAAGATAGCCTTCCACCAACTGGATTCCATACATGGGAAATTATAAATGTGTTATAATTTTAATTCAGGGGTCAGCAACCCCTGGCATGCAAGCCAGAACATGGCACACGAGGCCATTTTGCTTGGCATGTCACAACTGGCCCAGGCTCTGGGCAGCTGCCACTGGCCACAGAGCTGAGGCTGTTCGCAGCAGGTGGCAGGGAAGCTGCAAGGCCTGCTGCAAGCAGCCCGGAGTCTGTAGCAGGCAGCAGGGTCCTGTGGCTGTGGCAGGCAG